AGAGGTCCCATCCCAATGCAACAGTGTTCCTTAAAGTCTTTATGTCCTTTAGGTTTAAAGCTTATTTGCCTTAAAAATAAAGAGAGGGAGACGCTTCTTGAAAGAAGATTTCCTAAAAAGGAAATTTTCAAAAAATCAGCGGTGAATGGGTAAGAGTTTTTTTTTTTTATATATTAAATGATTTTTTATATGACACTAGATAGAAATTTATATAATATAGAAATCTTATTACTAGTTTTAAACTATCTAACTTATATAGTTCAATTTTGTTCAGAGATAACTTGATTAAGATTCAAATATCTTTTCACCTTATTACCTAAATTTCAAATTATATTCTTTTGGCTTAAGGCTTCTATTAAAAAGATATGATCCTTCTTATTATTTGTAGCTAATTGTTTTTCAAACCAATTAGGCTTTGCACCAGATTTGAATAGTTTAAACTAGAGCTCTAATCACTATTGAAAGAAGAGAAACAAGGTTCAATTAGAATGGGATACAACTTAGTCTGTATATCCAAATGCAAGAAAAATCCTAATTAAGGAAGTTGAGTACATGTCTCTTGACTTATCATATTGTTTAACTACCATAGACATACTTTTGACAATTATTATAATACTATTTGAATGATTATTGTATCATAATATCTTTTCTGGAGATCACAATCTCAATACCTACTGAATTAGTATATAAAATAGCTTTATATAAAAAATAGTACTTAACAGGTTATAGTGCCAAATACTATTTAACTCTTATTTAATTGCCTTTACCTAAAATTGAACTAATATCTTGTGATTTGATCTGTGAAGTATTAACCATTGTATTATAGATCCACAGATCTAATAATAAATAAAATTATATACAATAAATTTTTTTCAATAAATATATAAATTTTATAGAGTCTTTTCTGCTGATCCCCTTGCCAACACAAAAAACAGACATTCCAAGAAAATTTTTATATTTCTTTGTAATAAAGTCTATACACTTTCATTTACAACACATATATTAAGAAGTATAGTCTCCCACACTTGTTTCTTTCTCTCTTTGATATAAACTTTTTATATTTCTGTGAGTAAATATAAGAAACATTTACCTACAAAGTTAAAAGCAAGAAAACTTTGTTAGAAAAAAGAACCTGTAGAAAAAGTACCCTCTTCTCTTCCTCCAGAGATTCAAGACTCTAGAAAAAACTGGTATAAGCTTCTGAAACTCTTTTTCCATTTTCCTCAAGCTCCTCTCCTATCTTTTCAAGTGTGTAAACTTTTTTTTTTGAGTTTTTCTGAGGAATTTTGCCTATCTTAGTTTGACCCTAAATTTTTGGTTACACCAGAATCCTTGAATGATAATTGGCTCGAATTTTGAACTGATTAATTTATACATAGCAAGAAATGTAAACAAGACATATAAATCCCATATGCCCTATCCTATACAATATAAAATCTGATGATATAATTGAATATAGTGAAAAGAGCAAGGCAACAAGGTGTCCCTTTTGTTAAGAAGTGTTATGGTGTTTTCTCTCACCTTTTGAACTGGTTTTTTTTTTCTTCAAGATCAAAAAAAGTCTCATTTCAATCCAGTAATAAGCTTCCTCTATTGTTGATTATTCTGAAAATAGTTGGAGAAAGAGATCTTAAAATTATCCACTGATTGAAAGAAGCCATAAATTCTTGGAGATTAGGCTGAAAGAAAAATTGCCAATCGAAATATCAACCTTTTCTAAAGATTAGAAGTCTTCGAGTATAAAATTTCAAGAATTACTTTTCTGGAAGTGCCCTTAAACATACTTGATTAACAATGAAATAGCAGAAATTAAATTGTTTGCCCAGCTGCAGGTGGTGATAAAGGATTTATCCTAATGGATTGAAGTTAATATTGGAGAATTTTATTTATCAGAATAAACTCTTCTATTACTCTTTCAATTTCCTTTTAATTTCTTAAAAAATAAAAAAATTTTTTTAATCTTTTAGGACCACAGGTTTGTATTGGAATAACAGTTTGAATGTAGGCTGACTATAATTTTTCTCAAAGTCAAAAAGTGATCTTGAAAAATGAGTAATTTTATCATTCCCTATGATCACACTTAGAGAGTTATATAACTCATTGATAGGTGTTCTGTATTAGATACAGTTTAGCTCTAGTATATATAGCCTTAGGATTTAATATATTATTGTAATATTTCTTTAAAGATTAATAAATATAGCAAATGCAGTCTGATTAAAGGCAAAAAAATATATATATATATAAATTTTATTATTTAATATATTCATTTTTAGTTTTAATTATATTATTTATCCTTGTAGACATTGTTTCGATATGTTTAATACATGTATTAATATTTATATTATTTCAAATATTTTATATTTTATCCCAAATTTTTTCTTTACTTTTTATTTGAAACAATGATTTTTAAATTCTAATTTTTATTTTATTTTATAAATATTTTATTAAATCAAAATCAGGTAACTATATAGACTAATTAAGTATAGTAATATAATTATTTCAATATCAATTTTAACTTGTATTTAGAATTGTTATTTGTTAAAATATAATATTTTTTTTATTTATTTTATATTAATTTTGGATTGCAAAAAATTTTTTTTCAAATATTTTATAATAAAATTATATATATATTTTTTCATTAATTCAGCAAAGATTTTTAATACTATATATTGTAAAACAATTTCAAATTATAATATTATTACTATCAAATTTAAATATTAGTTTAATATATTTTTTACTCAATGATTTATTAGGTATTTTTTGGCAATATTGTTTTCTATTTGAATTATATATATAATATGAATTTACTTTTATTAGTTCAAATTATTTTTTTTCAATTATTAACTGTTTAGTTTTTATAAATTCTAGCAAATATTAATTATTTTTTTTTATATTTTTTGAAAAAAAAGATTTTTTATATATACTTAATTGTTTTTATTAAAATATTAATTTGATCAATTATTTTTAATTTTTTTTAAATATTAACTATTGTAAAACATTTATCAATAAATATATAATAAACAATTTTCTTTTATGTTATTTAGTTAAAAGTCTTGATCATCTAAATCTTGATTTATCATATAAACTTTTAGTTAATAGTATTTTTTTTTTTTATATTAATAACTATAAATTATACAATATTTTTATATATAATAATTTGTTATAAAATATAATTTTTTTCAAAAAGAATAATAATTCTTATTCTTTTTTCTAAAGTTAATCATAACATTGTTTAAAATCAAAAAAAATAATTTAAAATATTTATATAATAAAAAATTATGTAATTAATATAAATTAATTACTATATATAATAATTTTAAAATAATTATTCATTTAACAATCATTTGTGATTTGCAAAGACAATAAAAACAATAGATGTTTTTAATGAATTAATATTTAAATAACAAATATAAAAATTATATACTGTATATTATATATATATATAATTTTTGTTAATTAATATTAAATAATTTTTTAAAAACATTAGTTCTAATTTCAAAATATTAATAAATTTAGAAATATTTATTATTTAAATAATTTATTAAAATTAATTAGTAATTGGTTATTTATGTAAGCTATGTAATATATATATATATTTATTTATAAAAATTTTCTTATTATATTAATAAAAATTTCAATATGAATTTTTTTAAATAAACTTTTTAATTTTTTTTTACAAATTTATTATTATTTTTATTATATTTATTTATTAATTAATTAAAATAATCATTTTATAAATTTTTAAAAAGTTTTGAAATCTTAATATAAATTATTATTTTTATAAAAATCAATAATTTCTTTATATTTAATTTCATATTTATTCTATAAACAATAACTATTAAATATATATTTTTATAAAAATAAATTTAAGATATGTTATACTTTTGTCTATATATTGTATATACATATTGCGCTTATAATTAAAATAATAATTTATTATAAATCTTTAGATCTTTAAATAAGATCAATTATACTTCCGGACTTATAATGGTAGTTTATCAATTGTTTTTTAATAAACAAAAATCATGTGCTTATGAATATTTTAATCACCCATTGACACTTTCTTACACATGCGCCATTGTATTAACCGGAATCCTTATCTTTGTGATCCCGTTAACTTTACCTAATACTGCAAGTAGCACCGATAAGTATATATATACATTAAACAAACCTTATCGTCTTATCGTTGATATATTTCGTCACGTACTGCTTATCGTTTTCGATTTCCTTTTAAAGATTGTGCTGAAATCACAGTTTATTTTATTTAAATAACGTGTATCTCTTCTATAGTTTTTGAAAAATTTTTGTTTACCATCATTACTCCTCAAAAATGGTTATACACGAAAATGAAGTATACTCTCAAGTCATGGGCTATATTTCTATAGCCTGCTGGGTCGTTTTCAGCATTCCGTAAGTGATCAATAAGTCTTTAAACGAAAAAACAGATACATGTTTAATAACGTTTTCCGCTTAGACAAATATACGAGAATTACAAGAGGAAGTCGGGAGAGTCCCTATCGATTATTTTTCTTTACATATGGTGCGCCGGTGATTTCTTGAACTTGATGGGATCTTTGTTCCAACACTTATTACCTACTGTGGTGAGCAGACTATATCATATTGTATATGCACATTATCGATCTGCATCAGTGCAACATAATATAATGTTTTTCCCTTAAACAGATTATTCTCGCAGTCTACTATAACATTGTAGACATTATGTTAATTTCTCAAGTCTATTACTATCGACTGCGTCGTAGTAATTACGAAGAAATTGTATGCGAATATGGCACATTTGAATCACAATCGCCGCCATCACCTCCTCCTCCACGTCCCAAATCCAAAAAATTTATCGAGATAGCAATTGGGATCTTCGCCGTTTGTTTAACCGGAGTGATTGCATATTACTTCTCCAGTAGGTCGCAGGAGGTAAAAAATAATAAAGATCTAGTTCCCCTCTTATTTGTCCAGCGAGAACATCTGGAACTTTTTCCTCAAGTTTGCGGATGGATCAGTACACTTCTTTATCGTAAGTTGCAATCTATTATTTTTATATTAATATATGCAACTTATAACGACGTTATTATCTTTAGTTGGATCAAGAATTCCGCAGATCATCAAAAATTACACGACAAAGTCCACCGAAGGACTATCACTTGCAATGTTTTGTTACGCCGTGTTGGGGAATATTACATTCTGTTTGGTATGTCATATTTCAAACTATTCTCTCGATTGTTATTAATTAATTCATATATTTATTCTTTTCTCTCAACAGTCAATAATCTTGAATTCAACCGATTACGAATACTTAATAATAAATTTTGCATGGTTATTGGGAAGTGGTGGAACTCTGATTTTCGACTTTATTGTAAGCTCTTTATTTGCCAAAAAAGTCAATTATTTGCTATTGACTATTGTATTTCTAATTTTGATATCTCCTTTATCAGATCTTTGCTCAATTCTACATGTATGGTCGATAAAAAAAGGGATCGACAAAATGGGTAAATGAAAATTCTGAAAAATCACAGTATTCTGTATTATATAATTGCAAATTCTGCAAAAGATCATCTTTAGAGGGTAATATGTTAAATGTCCAATAGAAGTCGGTCATGTTCAACGATAAATTTTTATTATCAGACAAATTAGGTAATTATTTGCGGAGGCAAAACAAATTTTCGGACCCGGAATTATAACTCCTGAATCATGATAAACTCTAAACCTTACATCTAATTTTATATCGCTTTTAAATGATACCTATTTGCGAAGAAAATTCAAAAGAATTTATTAAGAGAAACAATATTGAAAATTATTATTAATTAACAAAATTAATTTTTTATTTAATCGAAATAATTTAATACTTGGTTTGTGATTAATAAAAGTACTGCAGACTATTTCAAGTCCTTTATTACTACTTGGTTTGTGATTAATAAAAGTACTGCAGACTATTGCAAGTCCTTTATTACTACTTGGTTACATTAACTTTTATCGACGTCAGTTTGCATATACTACGTTAGATGCAGTGGAGGTTTTTTTCCAAAAATAAGATATGAGGTGTTCTCCTTACCTCAGTTATGCGACAACCCCTACAGCATTCGTGCATCACCCGTGCAAATAAATTTATAGTGAAATTTCCGTACTATATTACAGTTAGAGATGGAACTAAAGGGGTTAATAAAGGAGGTTTTTTTATTTGTCGCATATAAAATCAATTGAAAAAAAGCAATTTAATATAAGTTTTTATATGATACTATATGAGACAATTAAGAAAAGCTAGTCCCATCTCTAATTACAATATTTAAATGGAGGGTATTCAGAAATCGAAATCTTTAAGATCTTGTGATCCGGAAATTTCACTCGAATATAATCTGCACAGATGATGTGCAGGTGCCTTAGGGGTGTCGCATAAGTGAGGTAAGGAGAAACCTCCTATGAAAAAAATCTCTGCTGATAGATACATCATATTATGCAGCGTATTGTGAAAACAACAGCTAGAATTTAATTATAGCAGCGATGTTCGTTATAATTTTTATATAAAATACAAATTTGTAAGATATTGTCGTGGGGTAATCGACATGATATACCAAACTGCAAGTCTGTACGGAGATCTTTAATCTTAAATATCTCTGAATTAGATCATGTGAAAAACATTTTTAATATACAGTTCATTATAATTGATTATTAATTGAACTGAAAGTTTTTTATTCGTTATATTATGTTATACACAGCATGTTATTATCAGATTATTTAATAAAGTATTAATAATCTTCAGAATATTTAAAAAATTAATTAATAGTATCTAATGTCTTAAATTTATTTCTTTAATCAAGTATCAAATTTATTATTTATTATAATAAAAAAAATTCAATAAATTTTTTTGTAATTTTAAATAATAAATGTTTTTTAAAATTATATTATTGATTATTTTTTAAATTAATAAAGTATTATTATTTTTTGGAAGAGATTTTTCCAGTAGATAAAGTATTGTTATTTTTTGAAAAAGGTTTTTCCAGTAGATAAAATACTATTTTTTTATTTGATATTGTATATAATAAGATATATTTTATAAAAAAACAATATTTCTTAAATACAAAACATATAATAAGTTAAATGCTAGCTTGTTTACATATCAATATTTAACTAAATTTTCAAAAACAATATTAATATATTAAATATAGCTGAATAATAGCTATATTTACCAATTCAAAAATTTTGTAAATTTTTTTGATAAAGTATAAAATAAAATAAAAAATAAAATAGATATTATTAAAACTAATATATATTATAAAATCTATAAAAATAAAAGTTATTTTTTAAGAATCTATAAATTAATAATATAATGGAATAATATAATAGATAGTGCTTCTAAGTCACCAAATGCATGTTCCTAGTTTAATACCTATAGAAAACAAAAAATATATTTACTTTCATATATAGATTTATTGAATATTCTGTATATGTTATATTCAATAATCCTTAATTATATCCAAATTTAATTAGGTTATATAAAAATAAGATCTCTGGTTTTTTTAATAATAGTAGACTAAAAATAAATTAAAATATAAAAGATTATATAAAAAAAGATTTCTGATTTAACTTTATTAATAAATCTACAAAATTTTAATTCAAATTAATAATAGCAGACTCCATTACATAATCTAAAGAGGTTAATTTTAAACTGATTTATTCCAATTTAAAACTGAAAATCTATTTCAAGAGTGATGTTCTCTTGAACTTAAATAGATCAAAAAGTCAAAAATTATTTGCTATAAGTAGTGTCAATCTAGATAAAAATTCTTAAGATCAAATGAGTTTAATAAAAATTATTAAGATTAAATTGAAATTCAAGCAAGGATATCAGTTCCACAGATAGTAAAAACAGTAATATAATATTATACTAATAACATATTTTGAGAATTAATAATAACAAATGATTAGAATAATTGAAATTAATCTTTATAATAATATTTCATATAATCTTTCCTTAGCAAATAGCCAAAAAATATAATTGAACTAATAAGAAAATAGGTTTAAAACCAATATTAATTTTTTTCTTCTATATAAATCTTATTCAAATATAGACCTATCTATATGATATAAGTTAATTAACTAGAATAATTGAATTGGTTCAAGAGAAATTAGTAGTATTGAAAATAATATTTATTAAATAGCATTAATTTATATTTAGAATAACAATAGTTTACTTTATAAAAATATTTGATATAATAATAGTAATATTAATTATTAATAAAAATCTTATATTCAATACTCTTGACCAATTAAAAAAAAAAAGGTTGTTTTTCATAAAAATCTTTAATTAAATTTATTTGTTTTTACTTTTTAGTATTTTAAAACTTGTAAATATAACTTTTATTAATATAGATAGTAGAATATAAATAATGTTATTTGTTATTTTAATAATAATAATTGTTGTTATATTACAAAATCAGTTTGAACAAATTTGATTTTTGTTTTAATTTTTAAATAAAATCTAATTAAAATAATTGAAGAGTACTAATTATTTAAAAGAAATAAATTAATTTCAAGTTTTTAATTGGATAAAAATATTTAAAGTTTTGAAATAATATAATAAATATTATCATAATATAGTTATATTTGAAAGTTAACTTGAAACAAACAATAGATCTATTATTAACTTTATTTGAATATATTTTTTGAAAGTGTTTGATTTGATAAGTATAATAATATTATAATTCCAAAAATTGAAATCAAATAGAATCACAGGGAATTATACAAGGTTCAAAACACTATTAAAAATGCTATTGGGATATATTCCACTTATTAAATTTAATATAAACTTGAGAATCAAATATAGAATCGAAGAGAATCATTAGAATTCTTAAATAATATTAATGTAAATAGGTTTTATAATAAAATAAGAATAAAGAAAAGTAATATAATTTGAAAAAAAAATTCTCTTCTAATCATGTTTAATTTGCTAAAAATTTTTCTTTTATGATAATTTTTGTCAAGAAAAAATGTTTTACATTCTTTATCGCAAGTGAGCTCCAGCTCAAGAACTCAAGAACTTTTAAGACAATTGATGCAATGGGATGAGACCTCTGGTCAAAGTCTATTCAAGTTTGGGAGTCTTGCTTATCCTTCAGTTGCATGAGGAAAGGCCCATAACAGTTTTCTTTTCTTTTGTTCTCTTGTATCCCTTCTTTCACCTATTATAACATAAAAACCATTTATATCAATACCATTATACACATTAAGTCAAATACTTTCCAAAAAACACACTCAAACAGAGTTATTGGGTCTATTGTTTGTTTTAACACAACTTTTACATACAATCTTATCATGATGACAATTACTGTACCATCCCAAAATTTCCAAAACTTTTTGTCCAAAAAATTGAAATCTGTTTACCTCCTCCAGATGATCATCACTTTCCAATTATCCAATTAGATTTTATCAAAACAACAAGGAAAAAACCGAACCTGTTCAAACTGGTTTTCCAGCACAACAACAACAATAACTATAACAACAAACAATGTCATGTGTACTCTTTTATCTATGATAATCAAAGAATTGAAAAGATGGGACCATGTGCCTGTCCAAAAGCTTTTTTGGAGAAATAATTGGATTTCTACTTATAGATTTTATAGTTCATTTGATTTAGTTTTAGTTTTAGTCACTGTTGTTATTTTCTTTTTATTTATTTTTTATTCAAAAAATCAAAAGATTTCATAAAATTTTGTCAAGTAGATAGACATAGCCACTACTCCACTATTTAATATTTTAATATTGCTTTTGAAATTCTTTTTACAATATTAGTTAGATAGTAATCAAGTAGGCAAGCTAGCATTTAACTTGTTGTATGCAATACGCACCCAAGAGATATTGTTTCTTTCACAATATATACCTACAATATACAATAAAAATAAAGAAATGATGTTTACCTACTGGAGAAAACTCTCAAAAAAAAAAGAATAAAGAAAAGTAAAAAAAAACAAAAGAGTAAAAAATTGCTACAAATCATTTTTTATATAATTAAAAAATAAAAAAAATATTTAAGCTTAAATGGAATTTAATTAAAAATTCTATTCTACTGTATCAGTTATTTTGATTTTTAAATTCTTGAATTAAAATTTACTTGTGAAAAAAAAGTAAATCATTTTTTTTTAACAAAAATTATTATTAAAAAAATTTTTTAACAAAGTAAATATAATTAAAAAAAGTTTTTTTAATTAACAAAGTATTAATTTAATTTTAAAAATTTAATAATAATAAATAAATTATTAATTAAAAGATTTATATATTTATAAATAATATTATTATATAAATTTATTTTATTATATATTATTTTTATTTTAAAGAAAGATAAAAACAAAAAATTACCATATATTACTGCATACAATACCCCAGATATTAATCAATTTACCCCCTAATAAATTGATTAATACCCGGGGGATATTTTACTAGAAGAGGTGTAGTATTAGTGGTAGGATATATTATT